ATCATGAGGTCAGGAGATCGAGACCATCCTGGCCAACATGGTAAAACCCCATCTTTGCTAAAATACAAAAAAAAAATTGCTGGGCGTGGTGGTGCATGACTGTAGTCCCAGCTACTCAGGAGGCTGAGGTGGGAGAATCATCTGAGCCTGGAAAGTTGAGGCTACAGTGAACTGAAATCATGCCACTGCGCTCCAGCCTGGGCGATGGGAGTGAGACCCTGTCTCAAAAAAACAAAAGGTTTTATCTTGTGTGGGGGCCATATATATGCATGTAAAAATGAATATATATTATGAATATATATTACAAATCTCTGAAATATTCAGGAAGCCCAGAGGTTAACTGTTCGGGGAGCTGGCAACTAGGCAGATGGAGGACAGGGCTTGGAGGGCAACTTTCCATTGCATATGATTTAATACTTGATTTTCAAATCATATTAATGTATTACTTTTTTAGAAATAAATGAATTAAGAAATTAAAGCTCTCAAGCTCTCAAGTAACCTGTGATCTCCTGAAAGAAATAACATTCCTGTATAAGGTTTACATGAAGATGGATTTTCAGTGTTTTTAGTTGTCAAAACTAATGACTATTTTCTGAAGTTTAGGATCAGAAAACAAACTACTATTGTTTGAGAAACCAAACTTAGAGTTTTGAACTTTCTTCCACACTTACAGGTGATGGGAAATTTTGTACCAGTTGCAGCTTCCTGTGCCAATAATGTTCCAGCTCCAGTCTTATCTAACTGTGCAGCAGTTAATCAAGCTAGTATTACCACTTCAGTTTCCTCACAGAATGCTATACAGCCTCTATTTGTATCTCCACCTACACAAGGCAGGCCAGGTAGGTTATTAGCGGTTGCTTACTTTGGAAGCCTCTTTTCCTATTCATAATCATGCACCTCCAGCTATTCTAGTAATTATATATCATTAGTTTAATTTCCAGAATTAAATTTATTTAACCTACTTAATAAAGTATGTTCTGCCATTGAGGATTCCATGAGATTTGAGAGTCAGG